TCAGGTCCTCTCTGGCTATTAGCTGGAGGCCTTAATTCCTCACCACACAGGCCTCTCCAGAGCTTCTTGAGTGTCCTCATGACATGGCAGAGGGCTTCTCCCAGAACAAGGCAGGAGAGAGAAAGAGAGAGAGACAGAGAGAGAAACATTAAGGCAAAAGCCTCAGTGTCTTTATAACCTAATATTGGACATGATGGCACATCAAGAGGCCAGGCACAAAGAGTACACTTTGTATGATTTCCATTTATATAAAGTTAAAAAAAAAAGAGCCAAATGACTCTATGTATTAGAGGTGAGAATAATGTTCCCCCGGAAAAATAATGACTGGAAGTAGATTTAAGGGGGCCTTGGGGAGGCTGCTGCATTTAGTTTCTTCATCAGCATTTTAGCTCTATAGGTTTGTGAAATTCTCTGAGATGTACACTTTTCTCTATGTACATTATACTTCAAAAAGAAAAGCCCGTGTCAGAGCACCTTTATTGTCTTCCTTTCCTAAAGAGACATTCTGGAAATGACATCTGTTATGGCTTGGTGTCTTTCTTTTGGTCAACATTTTGGTCCTGGCTGTGAAACCTTGACTGAACAAGTCACTTATCCTCTCTGAAGGTGGTTTGCTCCTCCGAAGAGCTGGGCGGACACATGCCCTTCTGGCCTCAAAGTGTGATTGGAGAATGTTGGGTAACGTCAGGTATAGTTGAATACTGTTGTACACAAGATTAAGTCCTAGAGTAAGGGAGTACTCTAAAAATCAGCTATAAACAAACTACCCTTGACAGTTCTATAGATAAGTCCTAAATCACAGGGATGCCCTTGGAAGCTCAAAAGCCAGGTACTAGGAGTTCTCTTCTTTTGTTTCTCTTTAGATTTCTACCTTTGGTCTTCCTTTCTTTGGGGCAGCCCAGGACAAGATTGGCTTGAATGGCAGTGTGGGGGGAAGAAAAGGACTTTTTACTCTCCTAATCTTTTATGTTGAGGGCACCTAATTGAATGTCCATATTACATATACCTTTATAGCAACTCCTATGTATGTGAAAGCACTGGAAATTATAATCATATTAAGGAAACGTAAGTTATGATTCATCTTTGGAACAGGAACTTTCCTCAGATTATTTTGGGTCTAGAAAACCTTTATGGATAATGTCAAGGTTAAACAAAGTGTCTGATTAAAGTCAATTAACCAAAACGGGGGCTGCTTGATGCTTAATGACATGTTGGAATAATAATCAGAGAGAGAGAGAGAAGCTAAGGTCAACATTAGATATTATCATAAATAACAATTTTGTAATTATATAGTACTTTATAGTTTAAAAAATCTAAATCATTTCTTAAAAATTAACCTTATTTTAAAGATGAGGCTTAACTGCTCAAGGTCATCTGACTAGTTTAACAGAACTGGGATTTATAGTCAGATCTTCTAAGTTCAAAACCATAATACTTCCCAGGAGACCAGGAGATCTCCCCCCACTTTGTTTTATGAGTGGTGGTGGTACAAAGAGGTAGCTTTGAGGATTTGTGATCTGGCTCTCCTGGGCTTGTGCCCTGGCTTTAGTCACCTGCATGATCCCTATGACCTTAACCATCTTCTCTAGGCAAGGTTCCCAGGATTAATCAAGGCAGTGAGGTGGGAAGCACAGAGTTACCTGGGTGGCTATGATTCTCACCTAGTTAGAGACCTGTTGCACAGGATGAGGTCAAAAATTGTTCCTGTTTAAAAAAAAAAAAAAAAAGAAAAAGAAAAAGTTGTTCTTGTGTGACCCAAGATGAGTGGGGTTTAGGGTTATCCACCTGGGTGAGACAGCTGGTTTCTAGTGCTGCACGATGGGGCCAGGTTTTTTTTTTTTTTTTTAATACATATATATCTGCATCATTCTTATGAATGCATTCCATATCTGCTTATCACTATATAATAAAACCTTTTGAAAAGACATCCTTGCCCAGTAAAGACATATGTTGTGAGATAATTGTGATATCATAATTCACCCTCATGAGAGTTGGAATTCACAGTGCATAGGACAATCTTTGTGCCTTTAATGGGACTGAAGGCTCCCAGACAGGGCTCATCTGCTGACTAGGAGAACCAGATGTAGCCATTGTGAAATGGCTTAGGAAGGAGAGTAGTAGTGTGCTCAGTGGAGAATCTTCCCCACCTCCTCACATTTAGGAGATATATTGCTGTGTCCAGATTTGATTCCATTTCAGTTGTTAAAATTTGTCATTCCAGTGTTTCCTTTGGGACTCAGGTAGCAGCATGAGGCCCCCTGGTGGCCTGAAATCATTCATGAGTTTACTTACCAAGCATTTTGAAGGGCAGGCGTGGCTGGAGAGGTAGGAGCGAAGGTAGTAAGCTCTCACCTGCACCTGTTGCTTACAGTTGAGGAAGGCAGAGTAGGATGACCTATTTGGGAAGAGCTGAGAACTAAAATATTTTCTTTTAAGAGAGTAAAATAGGGGCGCCTGGGTAGCTCAGTGGGTTAAGCCGCTGCCTTCGGCTCAGGTCATGATCTCAGGGTCTTGGGATCGAGTCCTGCATCGGGCTCTCTGCTCAGCAGGGAGCCTGCTTCCCTTCCTCTCTCTCTGCCTGCCTCTCTGCCTACTTGTGATCTCTGTCTGTCAAATAAATAAATAAAATTAAAAAAAAAAAAGATTTAAGAGAGTAAAATAAATGGACTGTGATTCTAGACTTGCTTTCTGATTTACACTTGCTTTCTGATTTTTCATTCTTTAGTTCATTTAGCAAACATTTATTGAATACCTACTCTGTGCAAGATGTTGTATTTGGCATCACATGAGGGTTAAAAAAAAAAGGACATCATCCCTTCTAAAGAGCTTTGGAAGAAGTTAAAATATTTATGCCACCAACATGGCAGAAAATGAAAGGTACCCTCAGAGAATAAATGAGTAAAGACTCTGAAAGAAATAATTACTTTGAGATAAAAGGGAAGGTTTTTTGGGAAGCTGTTTTATTTAGGCTAGGACTCTAATGAGAAGCAGGATTTGGAGACGTTTAGATGGAGAGGAACAAGATGGCATTATGGAGGAGGGAAAACAGAAGTTGAATGTACATGGAAGCAGGAAACCACAGTCTGATTCAGAATGTTGAATAGTCTGATCTGACTAACTCATGAGTTTTCGGGCTGGAGTGAAATGAAAGCTGGATACATCTGTTTGGATCGGATAGTGGAGAACCTTGAACACTTGCCTGAGAAATTTCTTCATCAGCAACGGAGAGCCTTTGACTATTCTGAGCAGAAAAGAGGCATGTCAAAGCCCAGACTCTCTCTCATTGAAACCAACCCGGTGCTACATACTTGGATTTGGCCCAGTGGGGTGTGGAGGAGTATGGATATGCATGCATTTAAGATAATTGTGGTGTACTCTACTATAATGAACAACTCCAGGCTTGCCCCATCTGACCTTTAAAGCCAGGAGAAACAAGGAGGCCATCGAGGCTTCTCCCCTTTACAAAACTACTTGGGCACTAGGCAGCAGTCAGCTCCACAGGGCTTTTGTCATATTTAATTAAATTCCTTAAGAGGGTGCTTCCCTTGAAAGTGCTAGGTGAGGTTTGTTTTGTTTTTCTTTGCATTTCTAAGGTTTAAGAAAGGCTTCATGCCTCAGTATCTTCCCATACTCATTTCATGTGGTTTAAACTACATGGACCAGCGATATACCTCGCGACAGTTCTGGGGTAGAGTCCTAGCTGGGTTTAGAATAGCCCAATATCCACAGAAGTCAAGCAGTGATCTTACTTGCATTGTTTTAGAACTAACTCATTTAAGCATCCTAAGAATCTACACAATGTCTGGCATAGAGTTGATGCTCAAAAAATAAGCAAGTATTTAACGGCTGGTGGAATAGATAACACACATTTAATAACACATTATAAAATCCCTGACTCCAGGCATTGATTTCTTTTCTTTTTTTTTTTTTTTCAAGATTTTATTATCCATTTGACAGAGAGAGAGATCACAAGTAGGCAGAGAGGCAGGCAGAGAGAGAGAGGGGGAAGCAGACTCCCCACCAAGCGGAGAGCCAGATGTGGGGCTCGATCCCAGGACCCTGGGACCACGACCTGAGCTGAAGGCAGAGGATTTAACCCACTGAGCCACCCAGGCGCCCCCAGGCATTGATTTCTTAACTGTGAACGGCATAGATGTGTTTAGAATGTAGTGAACAATAATTAATATTATTCTTCACAAGTCACAAAGAATGATACAATAAAAAAATAAAAATCCTCTAGATAAGTTAGGGAGAAGCAACATGCCCATCTGAGAGAAATGTACTTGAGATGTTTCCAACGAGGCAAGGGGAAGTTGGGCAATTTGGAGCTGCAATAAACATAACTACAACAGCAACAAGCATTTAAGAAATTTCAGCAACAATAAGTATTTATTATTTTGAATGAAATGTACATTATCAGACTTTATATAAAAATCAAAAGTGCTAGGTTGGATTATTTTAACATTAATTTAACCCCCCCATGTCATTTAGTAGCTACATCTTTTACCTTTTAACTTCTGACTCATTACAATCATCTAAAACTGTCCAATGTTAAAACATTAAAAAAATTAGTTTATTCTTTAAGAAAAAGTACCACTGATGATGAGTTATTAAAAGCCAAAGAAAAAGAAAGATGCCAGAGAATCTACTTATTAAAAAAAATTATCACAGAATTTCATAGAAGGATGTAAAATCCGAGATGATTTAGACTCTCAGCAGAATATGTTTTTATGCTACGACGTCTTAAAAGTGTGGGCTTTTGTTTTTGTTTTTGTTTTTGTTTTTGAGGCAGGTCGCTGGTGTGCCAGAACTATCTATTTTCTCATCTTTCATTGGCCACTTTCCAAGGTGAACTGAACATTGCCTAATGCCATGCACCCCCCCATGACCCCTTGAATGTCTAATGTAGAGAAGAAGCTGACGTTTCAGTCTTAGAAACAGCCCTTGGAGTTAAGTTTGTCATTAAAGAAGACACAAGTGGATTCTTCATAAAACAGAACCCCTCTACCCTCCCCCACTCAGTTCACCCCCATCCCTCTGGTCTACCACAATGCACCATTCATTCTCTCCCACTCTCGTTCTGGGTGAATTGGATGACACAGGGAGAGGACGTTTTCCAGGCCACATATCCCATTTGGTCTCATCCAGTCCTAAGCAATCAGGCTTCTCTGATTCGCCACTAGAGCCGTCTGACTTTCCCGTCTCTTGGCTTTCTTGCTCCTCTGCCTCACCTTCCAGCACAAGGCACTGGAGGCTAACAAAAAAAGTCCAGATGACAGGAGGACCAGACCCAAGATGGAGATGATGGAACCGTGGGAATTGAAGCTGTAAGCCACAGCAGTGACCACTATCCCGGCAATGAGGACCACCACGGCGAACGGAATGATGCAGCGGTAACAGGAGAGCTCAGCACCGCCTGTAGCAGCTGTCAACTGAATCTCTCTGACCAAGGGGACCGTGGTGACCACCACTTCGCTGTTGGGGTTCTTCTCCATTGTCACAGGCTTGGAAGATGCTGGGCTTCCCACGATCTCCTTTATGGGGTCTTCAGTCATTTTTACTAGTGATGTTTCTTAGCTGGGTTCACAGACTAGGCCTGGGGGCTCTCTCCAGAGTGGAAACTGTGGAGGAGACAGAACATATCAGGTAAATGCATCAGAGTGAGCCCTGTAAGTAGAAATAAAGAGCTGGGGAAACATCTCTTGGGTTCTTTTCTAGGACACACATGTGCATGTGAAAATCAGAGTTCGTATTTTCTTTTCCTGATTGTTTGCATTCTCTTTGCAAAATGCAAGATAAAACGATAGCCATAAAAAAGGGGAAGATATAAAAAGCAGGAAGCACTTTACAGCGTTCAATATACTCTGACGATCTACAAATGTTTTACAAGGCTTTCCGCTCTGTCTATTGCTTCTCATTCCTCTAAACACATGGAAAAGTCTCAATCCTAATCCAAAAGACAGCCTCCTTCATGGGGAGAAAGCACTATAAACAATCCTTCAGATAGTTCGTTCCAAAACTCATAGCAACTTAGTTCTGCCAGTGTTTTCAGGCATAACATGCATTCCAAACTATCACCAATTCACTGCCCACCAAATGAGTGTCAAGACCAGCAGCGAGTGTACAAATGATGTTCTTCTATAGCAGATGACTGTCAGTAGTCTCCATTGTTGTAACTGTTTAACAGTGCAATATGTACCCTGGGACCACGGTAGGGGTGCAGGTCAGCAAAAATTCAGCAGCAATGAGACTAGGATTTGTGATCTGAAATGGGGCAATACCTTCTAATCCATTTGAAAAAGGAAGAGCAGGGGGAAAATTCAGTTTTGTAGGATATAATTTTGTACTTATATTAAAGATAAGATTAACTCTTAGAGTAATGAGCTATCAATTCAAAAATTTCCATGGAACTCAACAAGGAATTTCAACACTATGCAGACCAGACATGTATTAAAAAATAAGCGTGCTAGATTTTCAGCAAAGTTTTAGACTTTCTCGATTTTCCCATGCCCTTGCTGCTCTTTCTGGATATTCTGAACCAGAACATTTTAGGACAAAATCTGAAACTCTTGGTCAAAAGCATCTGGTTGAAAGGCTGTCTAGGAGAAATTAGTGAATGCTCTTGTCTGCTGTTCAGACATGTTAAGTCATTCTCTTTTGTCCCTGAGAAGCGATGGAGCAGCCAAAGAATCGAGCAGTTGCAGTCACTGAAGAAATTTAGAGGAAGATTCTTGAGGCTGTTTCAATGAGATTAATACTTTGAACATATGAAGCATCCACTGAAAACAGATTCAAGCCCAAATCAACATATCACTCCCTGTGCAATGAAGCTGGATGTTAGAACTGCCTGCCTGCATACAATTTTTAGTCACCAAAATTAATCACTGCTGTCCAGTGATACCCTAGTATCATCATTTCACCAGTAAAAGGGTATTAGAGATTATATAAGAAAGCAAATAAATAAGTAAATAAATAAATTGCCCCCAACGCTGAGGCATACGTTAACTTGCAAATGAAGATCTGTCCCCAGACGACATACACATACCTCAGAGAAAAGCAATCCATTACCAGGGGAGCCACCGGACTTGGGAGGGAATAAACAGCAGCCTTGAGCTTCTTCCGTCAACTTCTGGGAAAAGAGCCTGTAATAGCAGGTCTGTCAATAAAATGACAGGACAAGAATCTGCTCTGGGGAAAAGAAAAGGTAGAAAAATACTGTGCCGTGTGCTTGGTTTCAGATCCTGGAGTTCCTTCTTTCGCTCTACCTCTGTTCCTAAATGACGCTTGTCTTTCCCTCTCTCTCTTTTTATTTCCTCCCCCTCCGGATTGCCCCTCCCTGTCATTTTTTTTTTTTTTTCTTCGTTCTCTTCCTTGCCAGCAGATTTTGAGTTTTGGCTTCCCCCAACTCTGCTCTGTGACATGATAAGTCAGAATCATTCTAGAGTCCCCAGAGACAGGAGCCAGCTTTTACTTTTATTTCTTTTGCAGCATTTACTAAGTAGACGGCTTTGCATTACTCATTTTTTCCCCAGCTAACCTCCAGATCTTCCTCCCACCCATCAGGCATTTTCATAAGAAAATCCCAGAGTCAGCGTTGCAGACCCAACTGAGGGGACAGAGCCGACGGGACAGACACTTTAGGGCAGCAGGAACAGCTGTGAAGTCATGGGGCAGCTGAATTCAGCCTGGAAGCCAGCAAAAATCCATGTTCCTAGGCTTCCCCAGTATTCTTTCTTTATATGTGTGTGAGGCCATCCAAGGCTTAAAACCTCCCTTGTTTGATATTAATTCACTTAGGAACGAGGGTAGGAGATGCCAAACATTTATGGTTGAGGGAGAAACCAATCATCTTTATTTAAACACAATCACTTACTGCTTGTGCTAGGAGGTGAGTACTGTTGGCAATGCTGAAATTATCATGATCATCACCACCTTCATCACTGTCATTTACAGAGCACCTACTATGGATGTGACCCATACAGTGTTCATGCAATAGTGTTAATTCCCACTAGCTTAAAATGAGTTTGTAGTAGTGTATAAATGAGGCTCAGAGGGGTTAAATAATCTCATAGAGGTCACGCAGAAAAATCCTTGGTTTGAGCCCCAGTCTTTAATGGGCACATAAATCATGTGGAGAGCTTATTAAGTGTAGACTCTGAGTTAGTAGGTCTGTAACAAGCTCCTTGCTTATGCCATGGCATTTGCTGCTCTTTGGCCCACTTTTAGGAACAAGATATTTGAAACATTCAAGGACACATGGCTTGATGCATCCCACTCTCAGACAATGAAGTTAAAGGTTTATATTCACTTATTCCCCAAGTGGCCTTACAGGTTTATACTTTTTTACAGATAAGCTATTTGAAATTTTAAAGCCCCAGATTGCCCTTTTGAGAGAACAGTGAGATAATACCGGGACACTTATAAGTTCATCCCTATACTCCTGGAGCTAAAAGTTATCCATCCTCTCTATTTTAATCTGTGCAAGTTGTAATAACTTCTTTTTAATTAATACAGTGAATCTGCAAATGTAAATTAAATCTCAGAAGAGATTTGTTCCCTTCTTTCTCTTGGGTTGTTAGATTTCTTTAATTATTGGTGCAGGTCTTGGACATTCCCAGGCATCCCCCTTCTGTTCTAAGATAACATCCTGCATCTAGTAAAAATACCTTGATGATTTTGTCTTAAAGGGGGAGGGAACAGAAGTCCTTTTTTTCTAGAATGGAAGTCGGAGAGAGGGCTTCCTCACCTCAAATAAATAAATAAAGTTGAAAAGTCCTTGAGGTCTGACTTCACCGACTCAGGGGAGCCCAGCGTGCTGAGAACAGTGACTACCTGGAGGTCCTCCTAGCTGCCATCCTTGTACTTTTAAAATGTGGGGGCAGAAGAGGCCATCATCCGGGAAAAATGCTGTCACTTGGTGTCAAGGATAAGGGATGCTTAGGACCTGGGCTTCTCAGCATTTGGCCAGCACTGCCCTGGGAAGATGGTGATATGGAGGCTGCTGGCTACATACACTAGAGGCTTTGGGGACACTCCTAATAAAAGCATCAGTCCCTCCCATCTGTAGACTGTGAACTTTGGGCACAGTTCCTCTCTGTCTCCTAGCATAGGTCTCTTCCTACCCCCCGCCCCCCAATAATCCAGTAAACCCAATGAAGTTCTCAATATCACCTTACCTTGCTGAATATCATATTCCCCTTCTACTAAAATCAAAGGTACATAAATCAAACTTTTGCCAGAGAGAAACCAGAGGCAGCCTTTTTCCACAGTGAGCCCTTGGCTGAATCTATAATAAGGGACAGTGGGTGTATCTGTGTGCTGGGAAGGGGGGCAAGTCTGTCACTACTTGTAACACCAAAGTATTCTTCAGCCTCTCCAGGCTCCAGGCATCTCATTCAACCTAATTCTTCAGAGAGAGTATGCATATGCCTAGGAACACAGATGCACATCTCCAGACTCCATAAGTAGATAGTTGATGACTTGTATTGATAAATACAAAGATGAAGAAAGTTTTGGGATAAAACAGAAGTTGTATGCGAAGAATGGGCACCAATCATTATACCTACTGCGACATACAGTTTCAACTGACTTTTAACTCTTCAGGGAGAATTCCTAGTCATCAATGCTTGATGTCTTTGAATATTTTTACCTGCTTCCACTCTGTGCCTGTAAGATGTTAAACCCCCTTGGGAATTGCTTAAGGGACACCTGCCCCCAAAGGCAAAATCTTCTCTACAATGCACCCAGTCTTCTTTCTGCAAGCCTTTCAGAAGGGAGAAGAAACCTTTCTGGTTCTTTTTTAAAACACATGGCTCCAGGAGATTCTTTTAAGTTTGGGGAACATTTCAGAAAGCTTCCAGTGCTTGAATTAAGTCAATGCCCCCCACCACCCCCTACTACCCCTCTGTAGGCATTCAACATTGTTCTCCCAGATCTTTCAGAAAGCAAGGCAAATACTCTTACCTTTCCCAGCCAGAATCCGACTGAGACAGCTGCCAGCTCCGGCCAACAGCAACCCAGAGAGGGGGATGCAAATCACCACACTAGGGACCGTAAACAAAGTACTCAGCAAGGCTGAAACACAATTAAGGGACCGGAGAAAACTTGGAGAGAGGAAATCCTTTAAGTGCTGCTGCATTTTGTTCTATTTCCCTCTGTGAGAATGTCATCCATATTTTTAAAAAGGGAGCCAAGTTTGAAAAGAATGCCCTGCTTTGTTTTACTCTCTTTATAGCCTCATTCAGGCTTCTCATTTTCATTTTCAAGATGTTCCCTACCCAAAGCCCCTATCCTGATAGTTCTCTGCCCTACTTGGAACCTGCAGAAAAGAATTTGTCATCTTTGTTCTATACTTCCAGACAGGCTCGGGTGGGGGGTGGAGGTGGGGACAGGTGGGGGGCGGGTGGTTCGGGAGGTATGGGGGCAAGGGGAGCTGGGTGTAAACTAATCTCTTTCGTCCTGATATGCAAGTAAGCAGAGGGATAGTTGGAGAGGAGGATTCATGGTGAAAATGGCATGTGGTCCGTGTGTGGACCCTGTCCCTAAAGTCCCAGTCAGTAATGGTCTGATCAGTACTCTTCATCAGAGGATGGCAAGGCACCATGGAAATGATGGTTTACTGGAAAATCTTATCTCTGAGGAACTGAACTCCTGATCAGCATATAATTTCCAGGCTTCAGCATCAGTCTGGTGGTGGGAAATTGAAACCACCCTGCAACATGTAATATTTCCACCAAAGGCATCAGCAGAGCTTGCTGTTCTGGAGAGAATTTCCCCAAATTTGAAAAATCTTATTTCATTCAGAAATTAGATTAGGAACGAAGCTTTTTAAGTGCAGAGGATACAGAAGTGGAGGAGGGCACGGAAGAAGGTGGTGACATAGAGGAGATTTCGCCCCTTCCCTTAGATAGAAGCCAAGGTTCAGTCTCTGGGCTGGAAAGGGGGGCATTTTGATTTTGCCATTGCCTTTATGCTGCTGAAGACCTGGAAGCTGCTCCTTTGGGAGCACACAAGCTTTGCATTTTGTGAAGAGCACCCCCATGTGTATTCAATTACTCGCCCATATTTACTTTCGGTTTGCTTTTGTTTGGGGTGGTTGAGTTGGCTAATTTCTAGCAGCTCTGAAGATGCCAGGTCCTTCCGGCACTCTGTCCAATCACTGCAGGCCTTTGATCTGGGTCATCACCCAGTCCAATTGGATTCAGTGAGCTTTGGGAAGCTGGCCAGTTTTTCTTCTTTGCAGTGCTTCTTTTAAGGGTGTGTCTGCATTTATGTTCTGATATCACTAACATTTTGGAAAGTGATCTGTGCGTGTGTGTTCATTTTGGATAATAGGTCATGTTATTACTGCTTTCCTCACACCACTCCCCACCCCCAGGCACTTTTCTTTGAGCTCTGGGACATTAAATAGATCTGATAGCACCAAGAGGAACAATGGATATGCCTTAGGTATAAATATATATTTTACTATTTGCTGGTCAATTTCCAGCTACCAGAAACTCATGAAGTCCATGTGAGTACAGAAAGGAAAACATACATCTTTTAGATACATATCCTGGTCACCATTCTCTTACCCATTTTGTTCTGAGTAACTATGAATAATCGTATAAACATAAAAAAACAGAGTTGCTAAATCAAATGACACAGTGGAACCTTAGGGAGGGCTGAGTAAATCACCTCCCACGTCAACAAGGAGCTAATGGGCACTCCAGCCTAGGATGAGAATTGATTTTCTTGTTTCAAAATCTGAATATATGTTGAACCTGCTGTGTTCCTGATACATCCCCCTGTATCTTGCATAATCCTTTGTATTTATGTATTACTACTCTTTTGAGCCCTAAGATGAGGAACCTCAAAGGTCAAGAGTTATAGAAAATTGGGCTGACATTTTCCCAAACAGGTACATAATGCTCAGGTCAGCCTTCCCTAGTAGACTATGGGTCATGTATTCAGGGGCTTGTGGGAAGCCCACCATATTTGCCTTTTTTCCAGGAGAGGAAAAGGAAGGGATAAGAATGAGCTCACTCCTTTGCCACTCCTCTTGATACTTGATAGTATGAGGTCTTACTATGCCTTTTTACAGAAGCCATCTCCCCCTAGCCTCTGATGAGAAATGTCGCTTGTCTTGTCCATAAAATAATTGGGGTGCCCATTGTGTAACCTCAGTCTACTCCTGATCAGCACATAATTTCTAGGCTTCAACATGAGTCTAGTGCTGGGAATTTGAAACCACCCTACAGCAGGTAAAATTTTCTGAAAATGACTGATCTGTGACATCCTATA